ATCCACACTGTAGAATTAATGCAGTTTGACACAATCGTAAGTGCTTCGGTTCAGTGTTAGAGGATAATGGGAATTGTAGTTTTACAAGGTATTTACTCTTCTCAAAGAGTGCTGATGCCTCCCCAAACTACATATTTTATGTTTTCATAGCACTGAGCCATGGCAGTTCAAGTGGTGTCAAACTGCATTAATTCTATAGTGTAGATGCACCCCAGTGAAAGAGGAAATAAACTGGGCTTTCCAGACTCATACACGGATTTAACCAAATAGGTAAAAATATTCTAAACAGGTCAGTTTATTCTCAAGGAAATGCACCCATTCATCCCTCTGAAATGAAAATGCCTTCATAAACAATGTTGTTGTTGTTGTTGTTCATTCGTTCAGTCGTCTCCGACTCTTCGTGACCTCATGGACCAGCCCACGCCAGAGCTCCCTGTCGGCCGTTACTGGTAGCCTATGAGCACTGAATGAGAACAAGCCACGCCCACCCCATTTCTGATTGGTTGATTAGTAACTTTCTGCCTCTGTTGAATCCACCGACGGGAGGAATCCGTAGAGGCACAACAGGAATCACACTTCCTATACTTCCGGTTCCCAGTCGAACGCTATAGACAGAAGCGGCAGGAGCCCCGAACTACGAAAGGAGGCGCTCTGCCTCCACATCTCCAGAAGCAGCCCTTCAACTGAGGATCGGCCTTTCTATTCATCACTCCAACAAACCCATTCTCACAAATGCCTTAAAGCCTTTCTTACCAAGCTGCCCACAATGTTCCACCTGGCAATGTTGCCCGAGTTCCAATTCCGCCATGGTAGGATACAGCGCATGCGCACTCGGTCACTTTCTCCCCCTCTCTTTCCCAGCGTGGGTCGGTCCCGAAGGGCATGTCGTCATCGTTGACGTCACCACGAGGGCAGAACTTCTTTTATGTGGATCTAGAAAGGAGGAAATGATGTTGATTGTTTGAGAGTAAGGGTGTGGCCACAATGTAGAATTAATGCAATTTGACATCACTTTAACTAACATGGCTCAATGCTGTAGTATCTTGGGAGTTATTCTGAACCAGTTTTGCCAAGTAAACCCCATGACAGGTTTGCTTTAGAGTTGCTGTTAATCAGCAAGCAAATAATAATATATTTATTTGTCGTGTCAGGGCAACCAGTCAATTATATTACATTTCTAACAGAACAAAGCAAACAGACAAAATACAACATTTGTGAGTTTGGTAGTTGATTAAATGTCATTTGACCAGTATCTGGCCGCTTGGAGTGCTTCTGGTGTTGCTGCAAGAAGGTCCTCCATTGTACATGTGGCAGGGCTCAGGTTGCATTGCAGCAGGTGGTCAGTGGTTTGCTCCTCTCCACATTCGCATGTCGTGGATTCCACTTCATAGTCCCATTTCTGAAGGTTGGCTCTGCATCTCGTGGTGCCAGAGCGCAGTCTGTTCAGTGCCTTCCAAGTTGCCCAGTCTTCTGTGTGCCCAGGGGGGAGTCTCTCATTTGGTATCAGCCATTGGTTGAGGTTCTGGGTTTGAGCCTGCCACTTTTGGACTCTCGCTTGCTGAGGTGTTCCAGCGAGTGTCTCTGTAGATCTTAAAAAAACTATTTCTAGATTTAAGTCGTTGACGTGCTGGCCGATACCCAAACAGGGGATGAGCTGGAGATGTCTCTGCCTTGGTCCTTTCACTATTGGCTGCTACTTCCTGGCGGATGTCAGGTAACGCAATACCGGCTAAGCAGTGTAATTTCTCCAGTGGTGTAGGGCGCAGGCACCCCGTGATAATGCGGCATGTCTCATTAAGAGCCACATCCACTGTTTTAGTGTGGTGAGATGTGTTCCACACTGGGCATGCATACTCAGCAGCAGAGTAGCACAGTGCAAGGGCAGATGTCTTCACTGTATCTGGTTGTGATCCCCAGGTTGTAATAATAGTAATAATAATAATGATAATAATAATAATTTTTTTATTTAATACCCCGCCACCATCTCCTCAATGGGGACTCGGGGCGGCTTACATGAGGCCAAGCCTCATGTAAATGGTGTATTTTAATATTTTGATTTTTTTTAATGTTTATGTATTGTATATGAATCTGTGTCCCAACATTGAATGTTAGCTGTGTATATGCTGTGCTCCACCCTGAGAAGGGCGGAATATAAATGTTTTAAATAAATAAATAAATAAATAAATAAGCACAACAGCATATTACAATAAAGTAAAACCAAAACACAATAACAACACAGTAAAATACAAACAATATATGAGTACAAAGATGATAAAGCAAAATCATACACAGTAAAATAACATAACAATAATAGTAATAATAAGATTGCTGCAGATGCAGACTGCAGCCAGGAAATCAGAAGACGCTTACTTCTTGGGAGGAGAGCAATGACCAATCTCGATAAAATAGTGAAGAGTAGAGACATCACACTGGCAACAAAGATCCGCATAGTTAAAGCAATGGTATTCCTCGCGGTAACCTATGGATGTGAGAGCTGGACCATAGGGAAGGCTGAGCGAAGGAAGATAGATGCTTTTGAACTGCAGTGCTGGAGGAAAATTCTGAGTGCCTTGGACCGCAAGAAGATCCAGCCAGTCCATGCTTTAGGAAATAAAGCCAGACTGCTAATCGAAGGGAAGGATAGTAGAGGCAAAGATGAAGTACTTTGTCCGTATCATGAGACAACAGGAAAGCTTAGAGAAGACAATGATGCTGGGGAAAATGGAAGGAAAAAGGAAGAGGGGCCGACCAAGGGCAAGATGGATGGATGGCATACTTGAAGTGACTGGCTTGACTCTGAAGGAGCTGGGGGAGGTGATGGCCAACAGGGAGCTCTAGCGTGTGCTGGTCCATGAGGTCACAAAGAGTCGGAAGCGACTGAACGAATAAACAACAACTCTTCTACACTGCTATATACATTCCAGATTATCTACATCCAGGGAACCACTGACTCCATAGAGAAGCTGATGAGAAACACAACCTACAAACTATCTACAGACCCACTGAGAAGATGCAGCAGATGGACAAGAGGGATCCTCTCACCTCTGCAGGAGTCTACTGTATGCCATACAGCTGTGGACAAGTCTACATAGGGACCACCAAACGCAGCGCCCAAACACGAATCAAGGAACATGAAAGGCACTGCAGATTAATTCAGCTTGGGAAGTCAGCCATAGCAGAGCACTTGGTGAACCAACCTGGGCACGGCATATTATTTGAGAACACAGAAATGTTGGACCACTCTAACAACCACCATATCAGACTACACAGAGAAGCCACTGAAATCCACAAACATGTGGACAAGTTCACCAGAAAGGAGGAAACCATGAAAATGAACAAAATCTGGCTACCAGTATTTTTTTTTTTAAAAAACTTTCAAATCAAGAGCAACACTTAGAAAACAGGAGAAATCCAGACAGGAAAAATTAGGGCCAGCTAATACTTCCTAACAAAGGATCCCCTCAGGCAGGAAGCAGCCAGGCTTTGAAACTGCAAGGTTATTCAATTCTAATCCAGATGGCCAATTGCAACATTAACACTTGCCTCCAACAGACAAGCGGTCTTTCTCCCACTCTAGACATTTCACAGACATACAAACCTCAGTTGCCTAGTTTCCAAGGGACCTCACAATCTCTGAGGATGCCTGCCATAGATGTGGGTGAAACGTCAGGAGAGAATGCTTCTGGAACATGGCCATACAGCTGGGAACACTCATAGCATACCAGATTATCTGCTTTGAACTGGATTACATTGTAGTGTAGACTGATACAATCCAGTTCAAACCTGATAATATGAATTTTATATAGCAGTGTAGATGGGGCCTGGGTTGCATCTACACTGAAGGAAAGGAGCTGGACTGCACTCTAACTTCTATGGCTCAATACTATGGAATCCTAAAAGATGTAATTTGGTGAGGCAGAGAAGGCTAAAGGCCTAGTTAAAACTCCAGTTCCCATGATCCCGTAGCATTGAGCCATAGATGTTCAAAGGGTGTCAAAGCACATTCATTCCACAGTGTAAATGCATTTTTCTTTGCCTGAACTTCCTCCTTGTGCATCACTTTGGGTGCGTTTACACCAGCCATAGGCAAACTTTGGCCATCCAGGTGTTTTGGACTTCAACTCCCATCATTCCTAACAATCTCAGGCCCTTAATATAACCCCACCAACAGCCTCAGGCCCTTAATTTAACCCCACCCAGGCCCTTCATTTAACCCCTTAAGCGGCTGAGGGGGAAAAGGGGCCTGAGGCTGTAGGGAATACTGGGAGTTGAAGTCCAAAACACCTGAACGGCCAAAGTTTGTCCATGCCTGAAAAGGAAAGGGCCTGAGGCTATTAGGAATGGTGGGAGTTGAGGTCCAAAACACCTGGACGGCCAAAGTTGTGGGAGTTGAAGTCCAAAATACCTGGACGGCCAAAGTTTGTCCATGCCTGAAAAGGAAAGGGCCTGAGGATATTAGGAATGATGGGAGTTGAGGTTCAAAGCACCTGGACGGCCAAAGTTGTGGGAGTTGAAGTCCAAAACACCTGGATGGCCTAAATTGTGGGAGTTGAAGTCCAAAGAACCTGGATGGCCAAAGTTTGTCCATGCCTGAAAAGGAAAGGGCCTGAGGCTATTAGGAATGGTGGGAGTTGAAGTCCAAAACACCTGGACGGCCAAAGTTGTGGGAGTTGAAGTCCAAAGCACCTGGACAGCCAAAGTTTGTCTATGCCCGATCTACACTGTGGAATGAATACAGTTTTCGATGCCAGTTCAGCTGCCAAGCCTGAATGCTATGGGATCCTGAGAGTTGCAGCCTTATAAGGCTCTTAGCCTTCAAAGAATGGTGATGCCTCACCAAACTACAATGATGATCCCATAGCATTGAGCCATGGGAGTTGAAGGGCCTTCATTTCACTCTGCACAGTGGGGACTTCCTGCCTTCCCTGCCTTGGCCGAGGGGCGGGGCGCATTCCCCAGGTAGAAACACACCTGTCCCAGGGAGGCGCGGGTCACGTGGCGGCCCATCCATCCGCCTCCAGAGGTGAGGCAGCCGCTTCCTGGCTTCCTCTCTTCCTCTCCTCCCTGCTTCGGCCGGACGGAGCTTGGCTTGTTTGGCGATGCAGCCCTTGGCTTGTGTTTAATCAGGTCTTGAAGATCGCAGGAACGTCTTCGGAGTTTGGCTTGCTTGAGTCGGGAGGAGGATGAGTAAACTCCAGAAGTTTTTCAAAGGCGGCGGCGGCGGCGGAGGCGGCGGCGGGGGGAGGAAAGGCAAAGGGGGCCCCTCTCCCCAGGAAGCCCTGGCCCGGCTCCGGGAGACGGAGGAGATGCTGACCAAGAAGCAGGAGTACCTGGAGGCCAGGATCGCCAAGGAGCTGGCCCTGGCCAAGAAGCACGGCACCCGCGACAAGAGAGGTGAGCCCTCCCCCGCGGAGAGGACAAAGGGCTTGGCACTCTGGACATGCTCAGGGGCCCAGCCCTTCCGCGACAGGACCTCTGAGCAAGCTCAGAGTGTCAAACCTTTTCCCCTTGGAATGATCTACACTGTAGAATTTATGCTCTCCGACATTCCTTTCACTGTCATGGCCCAAAGCTGTTGAATCCCAGGAATTGTAGTTTTACAAGGTCTTTAGCCTCTTCTGCTAAAGAGTGATGGAGCCTCAACAAACTATAAATCCCAAGGATTCCATAGCATTGGAATTCCCGGTGGCGCAATGGGTTAAGCCCTTGTGCCAGCAGGACTGAAGACCCACAGGTTGGAGATTTGATTCCGGGGAGAGTGTGGATGAGCTCCCTCTGTCAGCTCCAGCTCCTCATGCGGCGACATGAGAGAAGCCTCTCACAAGGATAGTAAAACATCAAAACATCTGGCCTGGTCAACATCCTTGCAGACAGCCAATTCTCTCACACCAGAAGTGACTTGCAGTTTCTCAAGTTGCTCCTGGCACAAAAAAAAATAAAATCTTAATTTGACAGTGTAGATGTGCCCTACGTGGATTATGATTTAATAGGATGCAACATTTTGGTCTTATCAGTGAAGTTAATGGCATGTCACTTCTTATGAGTGAAGTCAACATCATGTCACTTCATCCTCTTGATCACCTGGGGAAGAAGACTGGATATATTTATTTACTTTTTACTTTTCTCTTTTGTTTCCTTTTCACTTGTTGACATCTCCCTCATGCTGTCACCCACCATTTTTATTTGAGGTTTGGATTGTTTTTTCTTTGTGGCCTAACTTCAAGCCATTTCCATCGTATGGTGACCCTATGGCAGTGGTTCTCAACCTGTGGGTTCATAGATGTTTTAGCCTTCAACTCCCAGAAATCTTAGCAGCTGGTAAACTGGCTGGGATTTCTGAGAGTTTTAGGCCAAAACACCTGGGGACCCACAGGTTGAGAACTGTCAGAAATATTTAAAAACAACCAGGTATTTTTAATTACAAAAATGTGAGCCAGGCACTGACAGAGTTATTAGGCTGAAGCCTGTTAGAGTCAGTAGGCCAAAGTGAGTGTTGTCATGAGGAGTGTGAGGTAAACCTCTGTGTGAGAAGACTTGTGTGAGAAAGCTCCGGTGTAAAGGCCGCTGCATGTAAAGCTACAGTGTATCTGTTTATTTGTGTTATGGAAACCAAGTTCTTGTAAATAGTGCAACCATATTATTTTACTACAAAGAAAAGTCTCCCAAGGAAGAGATAACATTGGTCTGTGTGTTTTTGTTCTTTTTATCACTTTTGATTACTGGTGCTGGGTCATGCTGCTGCTAACAAGTTGTACATTTATGAGGAGGGGCTTTTGTTAATTAGCCGACTTGCTCAGCAAGGTCTAAATACCTGGGGACCCACAGGTTGAGAACCACTGACCTAAGGGGTTTTCTTTGACAATATGTGTATATATGTGTATATATTTTAATGTTGAGACAAATGTTTTTAATGTTTATGTATACATATAATGAATTCGTGTCCTGGCATTGAATGTTTGCCGTTTATATGTTGTGCTCTGCCCTGAGTCCCCTTTGGGGTGAGAAGGGCAGAATATAAATGTTCTAAATAAATAAATAAATAAATAAATGTTTAATTGGAAGAGAGATGCCTTCCTCTGAAGCTAAGGGCCCTTCCACACACACAGCCACCTAATGCAGAATATCCAGGCAAGAAAAACTCCCACAATATCTGCTTTGAACTGGGTTATCTGAGTCCACACTATCATATATACCAATTCAAAGCAGAGAATCTGGAATTTTATTCAGCTGTATAGAAGGGGCCTGAGAAAGTGTGATTGCCCAGTGTCACCCCAGTTTGTTTCCATGACTGAATGGAGATTTTAATATTGGGGTGCATCTATATTAGAATGAATCGAGTTTGACACCACTTCGACTGCCATGACTCAATGCTATGGAATACATTAGTGGGATAGCAGTACATGTGAAAAAGATCTTGATGTCCTCTTGGACAACAAGTCAAACATGAGCCAACAATGTCATGAGGCCGCTAAAAAAACCAATGGGATTTTGGCCTGCATAAATAGGCACATAATATCTAGAGAAGTCATGCTACCCCTCTATTCTGCTTTGGTCAGACCACACCTGGAATACTGCATCCCATTCTGGGCGCTGCAATTTAAGGGAGATGTTGACAAGCCGGAAGTTGACTAAAATGATCAAGGGTCTGGAAAACAAGCCCTATGAGGAGCAGTTTGAAGAGCTGGGTGTGTTTAGCCTGCAGAAGAGCATGCATAGTATACACATGGTTTCCTTTACCATGGAAATACCCCTGATCACTAGAAATCAGTAAGTAAGGTTAAGTAATTTTGAAATCTCCACTTAATGATTGTATAGGGCTTTCTTTCTGGATGTCAACATGCATTACATCAAAACGTGTTAAATTAGCCCTGCTATGTTTAAGTCAGGGGAGGAATGCCTTTCAGTTGTTCTCCCAAGTGGGGCACTGGAATTTTCCCAAAACTCCTGCTTCAATTTTATCTACACTGTCCCCATTTGTATACTCCAGAAAGGAAATCTATGACAATTGGCTTCCCTAAACTGTTGCTTGCTGCGTATTCCTGTTTCAATAATCTCTTCATCCCACACCACTCTATAGAATGTAATGAACTTTATACCCACTCAGAAGCTGGTTACTTTGATCAGGGTTGGTTTAATAAATGGCCATGGGAAACATTCTTTCAGTTAGTTTAAAGGATGTAATACATGAAATTAAAGGCAGTGTTCCAGAACTGCATGCTGCAATTATGCATTGTATCTCCCTCTATGTGCCAGCTTGGAGGTTAAGATCTGCTGGGGAGGCTCTGCTCTCAGTCCCGCCTCCCTCACAAGTGTGGTTTGTGGAGACGAGAGACAGGACCTTCTCAGTGGTGGCCCCTCACGAATAGAATTCCCTCCCTAGTGAAATTAGATCAGCCCCCCTCCCTCCTGACCTTCAGGAAAAAGCTAAAAAATTGGATGTGGGACCAAGCATTTGGTTAGCAATCTACCAGTGCGGTAAGAGAACATAGAACGCTGCAATGACAATCTGGAATGGCCACAGATGATGATATTGGATTGTGTGATTTTAAATAAGTGGGTTTTAATATGCTTTTAATGATTGTTTTATTAAATATGTTTGTTTATTTATTGATGTATGTTCTTATGGCATCGAATCGCTGCCTATATATGTGACCTACCCTTAGGCCCCTGTCGGGTGAGAAGGGCAGGGTATAAATATGATAAAATAAATGAATCATTTGGGCAGAAAACATGGTGGTGGTGTTGTATGCCTTCAAGTTGTTTCAGATTTATGGTGACCCCAAAGTGGAATCTATCATTGGGTTTTCTTGGCAAAATTTGTTCAGAGGTCGGTTTGCCTTTGAGGCTGAGAGAGAGAGTGATTTTCCCAAGTTCACCAAATGGGTTTCTAACTCCGGTTACCATAGTGCAGTGCTTAAAACACAATACCATGCTGGCTTTAAAAAGCACGCCTCCTTGGTTTTGTCATGGTTCATAGTTATGCACACTTAGGAGGGTATAAGTTCAATTATTGGATTAGTGGGTTAAGCCGCTGAGCTGTTGAACTTGCTGACTGAAAGATCAGCAGTTTGAATCCGGGGAGTGGGTGAGCTCCCACTGTTAGGCTTAGCTTCTGCCAACCTAGCAGTTTGAAAACATGCAAATGTGAGTAGATCAATAGGTACCACTTCAGTGGGAAGGTAACAGCACTCCATGCAGTCATGCTGGCCATATGACCTTGGAGGCGTCTATGGACAATGCCGGCTCTTCGACTTAAAAATGGAGATGAGAGCTATCCCCCAGAGTTGGACACGACTAGACTTAATGTCAGGGGGAAACCTTTACCTTGACCTTAAGTTCAATTCAACCCAATTGAGCAGGGCTTGTTTCTAAATAAGCAGCTTTAGAATTACTGTATCCATGATGGTATGAATGATTCCAAGACTGGATAATTTGTAACATCCTGTTTTTTATGTTTTGTTTTGTGCTTGATTTGATGGTCCAGAAATGTTCTCGCATTTGTATCTTGTATCTTTTGGAAACCTTGTGTTTTGTGGATACCATTGTATTTGTGGAACTATGCACAGCTATGTTTCTTCTTTTATTTATAAAGCTTACACGTATTGTGTTTTGAAACTGAGTGAAAGATTATGATGTCGTATAAGTAACTGCAGCATATTCAAATGAATAATATTATTGGATTTTTATTGTTCTTGAGGTGAACATTTTGGAATCGGCTGTCAACGAATCTGGAATTATAGTGGCGTGAAACAATTTCAGTGCCTTTCCTGTGTCCACAGACCCACCCTGGCTGACCAATAAAAATAGACGCATGAAGTCATGTAGGTGTGTTCTAAATTTATATAATAGCACACTCCAAGAATGGCTTTCTCCTTTGTGACAGTGCTTAATGTTTACTCTTCGGGATCAAAGAAGTGTTGAACTTATTATATTTAAAAGGTTATTTCAGTCTGGCATACAGTTTCTTGGCAGTCAGCCTCCTGATAGCTGTGCTCCTTAATTCATTTTCTTTTGTCTCTGACACTCCCTTTAGAGCGTTTGAAATGATAGTCTTTATTTAAAAAGGCTTGCAACAGGAATAAGAATGCATTATTAAGTACAGAGACCTCCATGTGATAGGAATTTAGGTTTCAGCCATAAGTAAAGCTGTGGATTGGGGTTGACCAGCTTTGTGCTTAAAGTTGAATTATATGTTGTATATTGTTTGAAAGCCATGCTTAGAAACCGGCCACAATCTGTTGCTATTTTATTTATTTTGGCAGGAAAAGCATCTGTTAAGTTTTCCTTGTCTGGCTTGAGACTACAATGCACAATAAGGAAATATAGTTCTAAGCATACTTAAAAAAACACACACAGCAGCAACTTTGTTTGGCACAAGACGGTAGTGAAAAAGG